AGTGTTCAGAGCAACACTTCTCTCTGCATTATCTCTACAATAACACCTGTTAAACCTTTTCCCCTGGTCTCCCTGTTTGGTCTTCTGCATTTGGGTCTGAACTTTAGTAAAATCATGACAATTTTCAAATATGTTATTTAAATAAAACAGAGCATACCTTCCCAACCATTATTATTTTGGTTATTGACTCTATATCCTGATTATAAAGTTCATTTTTAGTTTTAGGAAAACTTTATCAAACGTGATGTTTCATAAGGCTTTAACCATTTGAACACTAATCTCAGTTTTATTAGACTTAAACAGATTAGACGTTCAGAAATTTGATGCACAAGTTGCATGAGCAGGAGCCTCATGCATAGACGACTTGCACCTTTGATACTAAAAGCTGGTGGGAGCGAGAAATTTTCAGGAACTTGTTGCGCACAGAAAAAGTCCGGCGTATAAAGTGATGCGTAAACATCTCTATGGAAGCCCCATTGGGCCACTTAAAGGGGAAAAAAAATGCTAGATGGAGTGTAACAATTATGAGATTAAAAGTCATCATTTCAAGTTTCAAGTCAGAATTATGACCTTATTTTTTAATTATCATTATTTTGAAGTATTGTAAACATTGTTTGAATTTCAGAGGTGAGGCAGACACTCACCACTCCTGCTGCGCGGGATCCTGGTCAAGACGCCATTGGCCCTGTCTCTGCTGGGTGAACCGACCGTGGCGTTTTCTACCGAACTCGCCTCACTTCCCTGCTGCTTCAACAGGTCTGTCAGCGTCCTAGACACCCACAAAAACATAAAAATAGTTCACTCAAAAAAGAAAAACAAAATGAAAGGGTTGGATTAAAAACAAGTATGGAGATGTCTCATAACTGATTAAATGTAAAAGTTTTAGACATTCAAGGATTATATTTTTACCTAATTGCCAATAATACATGCATGATGAACAACTATTCCTGATATATCCCTATACAGAAACAAAGACATATTGTGATTTTTATATTAATATAGCTCTGGAAAACTTCACAAGATCCAGCTGTTTCTTCACAGCAGGCAGTGCTGAGCAGCTGAATAAGAGGCACTAAGGCTGTCATGGTCTACTGCACTAGACTCCGGGGTTTTATTTATGTTTTAGTTTTTGCCTTTTAGTGTTATTCTGTGTTTGCTCTTAAGATTGATCCCATTTTGAATTACTTCATAGTTTAACTCTTCCTTGGTGTTTTTTCAGTTATATCATTTTTCAACATTCTTCTGATTTATTTAGTCTTTGCTCTGGTTTTCTTCATTTGTTGTTATCAGCTATCTTTACATTACGTCTCCCCATGGCATGTAAATTATTTAGGTTTTTCCAGTCGTTACCCCATAGTCTAGTTTTCACTTGGTCATTCTATGTTCCTTAGGCTGCGTTCAAATGCAGCGTCTGCTTCTTCTGAAGGCCAGATTCATGGGGCGATTACGTCGTAGCTCAGCGCTGAGGCCTGTTTGGATTGGAAGACTCAGCAGGCATAACAGTCAAAATTTAATTTGGCAACATTATATGCCTATACAGAAAAGACTAAAAAGCATTGGATTATGATAAAATGAGGTTATATACAGCAAACAGTCTTTCTCATAGTGTTAAGAAAGGCGTTTTTGAGCCTAAATAGAATTACAGCATCATGTGCAATGAGCAGACATAGACAGATGTGACGCCATCTGCTGGTAGTACCATGGAACAATCAGAAAGCCGACTAGTGGCCACTTGCTGAATTCAGATTACGATTACGTCATAGGGCGACACCAAGGTCTGTTCAGATTGGAAGACTTCTCGTTATGTGACCAACAAATGTGTCCTTCTTTTTTCCCAATTTGAAGGATGGGTCCGGTGTATCCTACGTAGCCTTGGGTGGGTATCTGCTAGAAATATTTTATTTATACTCCTACTCCGTTTGTGTTTCATGGGTTGTGTACTAATGAACTATTATGATGTATAATGTGTGAGTCATCGCTTATTAACTCTTGCTAAAGATCGTTCCAGATAAAGGTCATGCAACGAATGGGTTGTGAAAGAGGCTTGGATATCCTCTATCACATGTTTCATCTAAACATGTGTTCTTGGAATGAATTTAATGGCAAAACAACCACATGCTTTGTTTGTGCTGAGGTTTAAAGTAAGATCATTTTGTTTTCCCTTTCCCTTAGTACAACCTCAGCTTGTGTAATTAGGGACATCCCCTGACTTCAATAAATAGCGAGGAGAAAGCTGAAGACCGGCAGAGTGGGTTAGAGATTTGTAAACTGTGCGGTCTCCTGTGTAATCTCTGTGCCTTTTTCTTTCCCTGTATGTTTGAATGATGTTTTAGGTGCTTATACCTGACAGCATCCTATGATTCATTATGAGTCTAAGCAAGCCAGCTGCTCCGTGTTCAGAAGAAAAAAGTAAATGGCGCTGAACAGTGGTGAATATTGTAAGTGCAGCTTAATATAATACAAGTAAGTAAAAGATTTTGTCTTGAATGAATGAAAAATAGTTATTTTAACTTATGTGGTGGGTAATGTTTAGTTTATTGAAATGTTTTATCTGTCCTTGTTGAAATGGGTTTTAGCTCAGATTTCAACATCTTTGCAGTGTGGGGACTAAAAATCTGATATAATAAATGTGATGGTACTGCTGCTAAAACGTCTCAAAAATTAGCATGCAGAACAGTAGTTAGTAGTTTGGCATCCATTCTTTCCCTGCTTTGTGAGTCAACTGACACGGTTGCTAGGTGACAGAGCATATGGGTAGTGAAAGCTGGATAAGACTGGACCTATTTGAATCTATAGCCAAACACATCTGTCCTCCTTATTTTCACAAACCTCTAAGGACCCAGTCCAGGTGGGCTCGGTCGTTCAGAGGACGCAGCCACTGAGATCAAACACAGCCATAGTCATCAGTCTCCTCTCCTTTTTGTGTCATTAAATTTTTCTAGCACCATTGTATTTCCTAGTTATTCATTGTTGCCTCCCTAGTGCCCCCTTCCGTCTGCTTTGTTTCCTACCAGCTCCTTCTCAGCACACCTGCCCCCAGTTAGCTCATTACTCCAGTTATTGTTCTATCAGGGCGGGTGTGTTCGGTTTCAGTGCCAGCATCCTCCAAGGACCCTGTCTACCTGGACTCGTTCCTTGGAGGTCCATGAGAATAAGGAGGCCAGAAGAGTTTGGCTATGAATTCAAACAGGTTCAGCCTTCTTTGGCTTTCACCGCCTGTACGCTCTGTCACCTAGCAACCTTTACAGTTGACACACAAAGCAGGAAAAGAATGGATGCAGAACTTCTATATATATATTTTCAAGGAGCTTCAGCAGCATCATCGCAAATATCAGATTTATAGTCCCCGCACTGCAGAGATATGAGAATCTGAGCTTAAATGTCAGCAAAGCCCATTTACACAGAAACAGGTAAAACCTTTCAATAAACCAAACTTTAACTGCCATATATCTGACTCAATAACCATTTAAAACAATATATTTTTTAATTAATTTCAAACGAAACTATTCACATACTTGTATTATATTAAACTGCACTTCCAATATTCACCACTGTTCGGCACCATTTACCTTTGTCCTCTGAGCACGGAGCAGCCGGCTTGCTTGGTCTCGCAATGAATCATGGGATACCCAAGGCTGTGAAGGATACAGCAGACCTGTCCTTTAAAAGGGGCAAAAAGAGAGACAAGTTTGTCAGCCGCATAACGAGCAATCTTCTAATCCGAACAGGACTCGGCACAGAGCTATGACATAATCTGCCTATGAATCTGGCCTTTGGAGGATTTTTGGGTCTATTATTAGTTTGATGGTGAGATAAAATCATATCTTTCTTGCAATTATCATACAATTACATCACTTTATTTCTTTCTGGACCTTTAAACCATTCAACATTCCTATTTCCTAACACACTCGGCTCTCATTGATCTGTTGAGTTTGTCCATGATTTTATGGCGCCAAACATCGAGTTTGACATCAGCCTTTCAACTTCCATAAGCAGCATTATTGAAGTGTTAAAAGTTTGGAAGAAACATCATATCCTGGACTTTATTTCATTTTTTTTTTCTCCCCCAAAAAGAAATATGTGTATTTTCTTCTCCCAGGATTCAAACTCAAAACCTTAGTCTTGCAGGGCAAAAGGGCTAACAGCTGTACCACCATGCTATCCCTTCAAAAGAAGATCATTCCAAAAAAATGAGTTGATGTTTTTTTTTATATATATATATATATATAAACATATATTAATAGTTTGAAATGCACACATACAAAAAATGTTTTCCTGGCCAACAGCAATTTGTCATTTTCTCTTAAGGTCTGACCCAAGAGGTCCAATTTTAATAAATTGTTATGGCTTTGCTGAAAAAAAGCGACATGAAATTAGAAAAAACTAAATGTTGCAGGTTCTTAGGTTGATTTTGCAGTTGTCAAAATCTGATTTAAAGCAAAGTTGTTTATTTTCTTATCTTCATATTCAAAATATTTGTGTGTCCCTCAGTGTAAATATACATTTCATTCAGCCATACATTACTGGAGGCCATTTTTCCTACATGACATCTGTGCAACATGGATACATTTAAACCCTCTGGCTCTTGATGTGTTCCAGATGCAAGAAATACTTCTAAAAAAATGTGGTTCACTTACATACTTACAATAATGTCTTGATATTTACATTCATCCCCATAAAGGTGGAGATGAATGTAGAGTCTGGTAAGTGTTGATGCATTTCTACATCTACACTTCCTGCATTTAAAAGTCAGGTCCAAACCTGTCTTCATTTTGGCAAGAAGGAGGCATGTTTGCAATGACAGACAGGAGGGGGAGCACAATTCATGGATGTGGTAGCATGAACAAAATTATTGGAGACCTCTCATCTACATTGATTGTGCAATTCTCCCAATTAGGATGATAAGAGAGATCTTCTTCCTCTGATCCATGATCTCCCTAAAAGATGCTGCATCACCACAACCAGAAAGATTTTTGCCCCTGAGGTCAGAGAACAAATATAGTCTGCAGAGAAAAGCAGCACATTTCCACCCATGGGTCCCAAACTTTTCTTGGTGGGCCCCCCTTTAATTTAAAAGAACATTTTTGCATCCCCATCACTAATTAATTTAAAAGTTAAACATGAATTGCAATAAACCACACTCCAAGAAAATGAACTAAAGTCTCTATTAAATCATAAAACTGTCTCTTTGAAGGAGCAATTATTTAACATTTATACTATTAACTGTGTGACAAAACTTGATATTACCATCAATATATTTAAATATATATTTTTTGAATTACATATAATTCAGTTATTCGTGTGCAACCAGATATATATCCTGGTTTTACTTAAAGAATGTAATTATGGTAATAAAATTACTTATTTCAATCATTAACTCACTAAAGAATGCTAATACACATCTTTAAAAGAAATGTTTTATGATTTTTCTGAGAAAGTTTGATGCTTTTTACATTTTCTCCGTTAAACTGCTTCTCTGACGTCATCCTGGGACATGCTCAGCAGTCCTGCTAAATCTAATTAAACCAGGTTTATCTGCATTTTAGTTGTTTCCTTTCTTTAGATTACGTTTTATATACCATAATGTTAACACAAAAAGAAAAACTAAAACTCAAAAAGACTAGATTTATGTTTAAATCCAAAGCTGGAAAAAGTTAGCTCCTGGAAGGAGCATAGGATCCAATTTCCTGAACACATCGGGAACAGAGTGATAAAACAGAAAGGATTTTAAGGCATTTGTTGTCTCAGGAAATACATTATTAACCTTTA